GCATCGCGCCGCGGCCACACCTCCGGTGCTCGAGCTGGGACTGACTCCTCCAGTCGCCGTCCCTCCGGCCCCACCCCTGGCGCTGCCCGTGACGGGACAGTCCGTGGTGCACGGGAGGGCGGAGACGAATGGAGTCGGTGCCGCGGTGCCTGTTTCCGCGCTGCCTGTGACGGTGAAGACGGGCGCTTGTGTTACTGCGGTCACGTTGGGCGTCGTGCTGTTCGAGTTGACGTTGAGCACCGCGTCGAGAATCTGGATGACGCCGTTGGCGATGAGGATGTCTGTCTGAATGACGCGCGCCGAGTCGACGAAGATGTCGTTGTTGTACAGCGTCACGCTGAGGTTCCTCCCATTGACCCCCGTCTGAAGTTTCGCTCCACTCATCAGGGCTGATTTGCCGTACACTGTCGAAGGCACAATGTGATATTGCAGCACCCGGCGGAGGTCCTCCTTGCTCATCGCGGACACGGTGCCCGCAATCTGCTGAAAGGCGGCATTCCGCGGCGCAAAGATGGTGACATTCTGCGTCTCGGCGAACTCAGTCACCAGGTCGGTCGCGTACAGCGCCCCCAGGAACGACGTCAGATCAGTATACGCATCGCGCGCAGTCTTTTCAATGCGAGCCGGCGGGACCATCAAGCTGTCGATAATCTGAACATATCCGCCATCAAATTCGATGTCCGTCTCGACGGCCGTCGTGCGCTGGGCCACGCCCGACGTCACGACCACATCGCCATTGGGCCCTTTGGTCACCAGCACACTCTGCCCGCCCGTGACATTGGAGTATCGCGCGTCCGTGAGCAGGGTGGATTCGATGGACGAGTTGCCCGGGAACAAGGCGTCGAATGCGATTTTGGCGTTGATGATGCCGTACTGGAGCGCGACGGGGATGCCGTCCTTGTCGGAGTCCCAGCCCTGGCCCTTGGTGTAGGCCTGGTCGCTCGGCGCGAGGATCTGGCGTTCGTCAGAAGATGTGTCCCGAGGAAAAATAGGGATGTTTTGTTCGCGCTGCATGAAGGTCTTGCACGATGAGGCCCCATCGGTTCGTCTAAGCGTGACAGGGCGAAGGGAGAGAGGGTAATGCCGCTGTCGCTAGGTGCATCGCCAAAGCTCTTCGTGCAGGTTTGACAGCTGAAGGGGTCTGATTGGGATGCAAAATAACGTACCGTGACGCCGGATTTGGGCAGCTTCGAGAAGATTTCGCTGTTTCCCTGTTGCCTCGAGTCAGTCAACCAGCTGTTTCTGGTCCTTCTCGAGGCTTGAGACATCGTGGGGGAGTGGATTCGGGGATCTGAGTGTCGCCTGCGCATGCGCATTATGCGACCCTCAAGCCTCTGTATATATCAAAGAGCGCTCTCGCACTGGCTAGTGATGATGCAGCAGGCTCTGAGAGCCCGCTGGCTGTGCTTTCTTGCTTTCTTCTCACCTTGACAAGATCGCGAAAAGTTGTGAGATTGGCCTGCTTCGCGAGGACGTCCTCCAATTTTTGGCCCGCGACGGCGGACGCGCCAAGCATGACTGACAGCGTCGTAGCCCACAGGGCCCAAGATGACGGCCTGATCATCATCGTCGTCCTTTTTGCTCCTTCGTCCCAGCGGTTGAATGATTAGAGTTGGGTTCTCGAACGCAGAAACGCACAATGTTGCGCAGAATTGGCAGATGCAGCCCACTTCAACGGGGGCGAGCGAGCGGGTTTTGACGGTCACAACGTCCGTCAATGATGCTATTCCGTACAACGTGAAGCGAACACGGTCCAAATGGAGACTCGACCGTCAGCCGTTGGAAGGCCCGATCAAGAGGCAAGGGGGGCAAAACAACCCGAACAGGAAGAAAAGAGAGAGGACTTTTGTCAAAACGGCGAGGCCATGGGCGCGTGAGGCAGGGCAGGCCGCCATTATGAAGCTGCGCGATTGTTCTTTCACCCTTCCATTCCATTCCCGTCTGACGGCGATTTCGGGCCTGGAACTCGGACGCGGTGGTGTGTGGGCACCTAGCACCGTGGCGTCCTAAGAGAGGCCCTGCAGGCGTGGGTTGCATTGGGATCGCGGACAGTTCAGCCCGCCGTTCTTGATGAGCGGGCAGCTTCGTGGCGTTTAGTGGTTGCAACCCCCCATGCTGTTTTTGGGAGAGGAAATTGCAGTCAGGGGGCGTTCATGAAAGGCTTTGACCTCGTGCGCCGACGATTAGAAGTGGTGGCGTTGAGGAGTTCGCAGAATCAACCAATCTGGATCGTTTCACACGTGCGCGCGATCTTTTTGGTCTTCAGCTTTAAAGGGAGCCATGGGGACACTTGGAACATCGCGAGCAGCTCCATCGCAAGACATCGCCGACGAACAATGTAAACGCGACGGATCAGAGATTCCAACGTTGGGGGGGTTGGCGTGTGTTGGTCATCTTTTAGCACCATCTTCTGTGCCTGGCGCTAGAACGAACATGGCACCTCGTTTTGTCCTGCATGCGCCGAGACGAGCCAGGGTCCAGCAGACGGTTTGTCCATTTGGTCCTTTTTAGCCGACTGCGATGCAAAGGTGCCTGGATGATTTTCCGTCGGCCTGCGGGAGATCATCTGGGGTCCGGAGTCAGCGCCTGGAGCCTTTGCTCTGCAGCAATGGGTGGTACGGCGACTTAATTGCGTCTTAGGAGTTCCAGAATCGCCGAAGAATAAAGTCTCGATCCCCATCCCCCAGCCGTTCGACCTGTCAACCGGGATGTCCTGAGTAAGCCCCAGGCGGATTTCCCATGTGCAGGGCCATTCCCCCACTGCAGCAAGCCCTGGCTGTTCGAGGTATTTTCGGGCTTCGAAACTGGCGACGGCAGGGGCGCATCCCTTTGACCCCGAGAAAGCCACTTTTAGCGTGCTTTTACCGGCGAGTGGAGCAGGTTTCCTGGTTAAGTAAGTAGATCAGCTTTATAGAAGACCTGTCTGGCTGAGATACCAGCTGCTAGCTCAACCTCATAGGCCGTTGCCAGCTGCAGCCAAGTCGCGCTAAAAGTGGCTTTCTCGGGGTCAAAGGGATGTCAGTGGCACCGGTAAGCTGCCAAGCCAATATCCCCTGCAGGCTGTCGATGATTCCATTCCAGGCATCAGCGATGCGACCCAACGGCGAAGAGTCTTGGAGAAGGCTTTTCCAGCGTCGGCACTCAATGTCTCGGCCGGCATTCCGGTCTAGGTGGGGCGCCGTTGACGGCCCACCTCTCCGTAAGCCCCGGATTGACCCACACTTCGGCCCGGCATTGCAAGCGGTGACCGGCAAATGATCCTTCCACCGTTCTCAAGCCGTGTAAACGAATAACATTGCTCCAAAGCAGCACCGACCGTTAGATGCATGAATAATTCGGTCAGCTTACCGTCCGAGCGACTGTTAAAGATAGCAAAATTCTATGCAGCCTACACGAGGACTAGAGTATGCAGGATTAGGTTTCCGAAAAGAATAAAGGCTGGATTGCAAGCCACACTCAGAAATCCTCCATACGAGGAAAATGTCCAATGATAACGCGAGTCGCGGTGTTTCCGCATTATGAGGCTGCCAAAATGTCAAACGACGCTTGCCAGATCAATGCCGAGCCTTCCTTCACAGGAGCCGTCTGCCAGCGTGGCTAGTTGGGCTATATCTAGATGCGGTCTTCAGTCTTCGTGCGATCGTCTCCTGGAGTTGCAATGTCCGGTATACCTTTGATGTGTGCTGCCTGTCCGGCTGCCTGTCCGACTCCTGCGAAATTCGAGCCACCCGACGCCCTAGTTCCTGAACAGCATGTCGCCGAGGGATCCCGTTCTGGTCCCGAGGACCAACCCGGTCGAATGTGAGGTTATCCCGATCGCGTCCATGTCGAGTGGCGGTTCCTACGAGAGCCCTCCGTCCTATCGCTGGACAATGGGTCAGCCAACGGACAAGCTGCTTCCGTCATCACAGCCGCCCCGATACGCGCCCGACAACACTCGCTCCGAATCAGTCTCCGGCAGCTCGACATCCAACGGCGCGATTGCTGATTCCGACACGGTCAAAATGCCACCCGCACTGCGGACCTGGGGCCCGATCTCGCCATGGCCCGAGTTCCGCATCTTTTCGCCCGACAAGAAACACAGCTATGCCGCCTACCGTGCTGGAACATTTAGTGGAAAGCGAGGGACAATCACGATACGCGATGGCGCCACCGACGGCCATGACACCTTGGTGACAGTCGGCAAATCGCCTGGAATGAGTTTCATGCGGTCCATTATCGTTACAGTCGAGGCTCGCCCGGAACTTCACCAAGAGCAGTTCACCACGACCATGAGCAGTGGCAGCATGTTCGTCAGCTCCCGTCAGCGGTGGATCTTTGAGATACCCATCGTGACCAATGGCGAGCTCACTCTCGAGCGATTCAGGTGGAACTTCACAGGCGGCAAGACGATCAAGGACACTGTGGGATGTACCTGGGGCTACCAGCTGGTATGGCTGCCCCGGCCGACGACGCTGCCTGGAATCCGGACTGGTGACGGGGCACCTCTCAAGCCTCAGGGGACGGGTCCTCAGAGGCCGGCGCAAGCCACCGGTAGAGGGGAAATCGTGGCTGTCATCTCCATGTGTCTTGCATGCTGCTCGGCGGAGCCTTACAGGTTCAAGTTCTTCGGGACGGGTCTTCGGGGAACTCTAGGTGAGAAGTTTGAAGTTGTAGCGATGGCGACGGGGTTCTGGCTTTGCACTCGTTAAGCAACTTCAGGTATGGACGTTATGCAGAACGCTGGCGCTGGAGCCGGCGCTCGTAACATAGGTGAATAATGTTTTATTTCATGTGATCGTCAGACCAGTTCCGAGCCAGCGACCTCGAAAGGCGGTGCCGAAATATGAGCATCGCTTCCTAACGGTGCAGCCAGGGACCGTGTGGTCCTCTTGCCTGATTCCGGAATTTGATCACCGCAAAGCCCGTCATATTTGCAAAAACAACAATAACATTATTCCAGTAACGATTCCCTCGTAGCTTCTTGAACAATTCCGTAGGTATCTCTCACCCTTAATAACTCATTGGTTACTTACAGAGGCCCTGAAGTGCTCCATGTATGGCTCAGGATCGATGGGGTCCTTACGACCATCAACATATAGTGGCTGCAGCTTTCTGACCCGATCAGTGAGAGACCCCACGGGGATTTCAATGATTCCAAGCAGCCTGCAAAGCAGTGAAGCCCGTTTTGAATACCAGACTTCCCTTTTGTTTGTCTTCAGCTGGGATGTTTGTCCATGGTGATACTCGTGCTCCATCCACAACACGTACATGCAAATAGAATTCTGAACGCCTGGTACTGGATTTCGGTACTGATCCATATCTACACTTGTATTGTACACGAAGCAATCGTTTTTGTAGTCAATTTCGGGGCCTTGCTATAATATCAATCAGCCTTGATGTTGCTAATCCTAAATATGCGCATTACGCTTACCATTCGCGGAGGCTTTTGCCTCTTGGTTTCTGCAGCCTTCCAAGTGGCTTTTCGAATTAAGTTTCGAATCAGTGCGAACCAACAGTCAAGAAGAACCTCGTATTCTTCCTCATTTCTCTGCTTCATGTCACTGTTCAGAATGGCCGTGAATTCTTGTTCCTCGTCTAGGATTTCGTCGATGTCATCTGCGGATTTCTTCGACCCAAGAATGATTCCGATGGGGCATTCGTCGAGTTGGAACTCGCAACACACATGGGTCATATCCAGATCTTCATGTGTCGCCTCACGAATGAGCGACAAAGCAAACTCTCTTGCAGTTTCAACGCCTCGATGTTCATGGATCAGGTTGAGCCACTCCAATGACCATATTGGAAAGTGAAGCCCCCACCCAAAGCGGTCGCTACAGCCCTTGTGTGTTGTAGCAGTGAGGCACCCTGTCGGCGAGCACGGGCAACTGCAACGATCTCTCACAAGGACATTCGCATTAGCCCGAAGTAAGGTTCTCACAACTTCCATCGTTGAACAGATTCGACTGATGTCGCTAGTGCTCAAGCCCCTCAGCGCATGCCCGATTGCTGTACGGTTTTGATTGTCTTCGAGATTGACGTCTGCTCCGAGCTCTAAGAGTCTGGCAGTCATTGCGACGTCATGATGCTTTGCAGCGTTAATGAGAGCGTGCTGACCAAGGCTATTGACATGGTTGATCATTTTGAATCCATTATCAATCAAGGCTTCCAAGTAGGAGACGGTCTTTATGTCGTGGAGAAGGCAGTTGTTCCTTCGGTCTTCTCCATTATCGTAGGTGAAGTTAACGTCTTGGCACAGCGCCAGAAAGTGTCGAAGAGAGATTGGGCTGTCATAATCGAAGTTCGGAATAGCTAGCTGGGCGTCAATTATTGCTGCTCGCACCCAAGACTCTGCCACTTCTTCCTTGGCAGATTGTTTGATCAGCAAGAGAAGATTGTAAATCAGACACCAATTCCGCCTGGCAATGGCGTAGTCGAAGAAGGTGCGATGGTATCGACTGTCCGCTGCCTGCAGGTTCGCATGTGCCTTGATGAGAATGTAGAGAGCCTCCTCTTGGTCTGTGGCTGCTGCATACATCAGGGGCGTGATTCCATAGTTGTCGACAGCATTCACATCGTGACCTGACTCAAGTAGGGCCGTTAAGTGCTCAGCTTTGTAGACTGCGAGGTGAAGCGGAGTTTGGCCAAGAAAGTTCTTCTCGTCTTTTTTGGACCGCTCGATCCATGTCTTCAATGACTGTGGTGATCCAAACAAGACGGCCTCGTGAATAGGTGTCATACCGGCAAAACCTGATACTAGTTAGTTTCCTAGTTGGAAACGGGCGGATGGGGAATGTTTCTCGGCGAACCTTGGTTATCCTTGCAAAGGATGCTAATATACTCAACGAAAAAGGGATCAGGAGTGACACTCTCGGATCTCCAATTTGATGAGCAAGGCTCTGGCCATTCCTGAGCCTCTACTTCTCCAGCGTCGAAATCAAGATGCATTAGTGACTCAAGAAGATCAAGGTGGGGACCTTCCCCAATCCATTTCGCGCATCGCGTGAGGAATCTACAGAACGTTATGTCAGACTCAAACCCCTGACAGTCCATTTTGAGTGTCCCATCGCAAGCCGCTTCGCCATGTGCGAACTTCAACGTTTACTTACCGAGGATGCATGCTGCCTTTTATCATTCCCAAGTCACCCATGAGCAGCTGGAGCAGCCCGAACTGCTCCCGGGTAGCAAACCCTCCCCATGGACAACGCAAGAGCTCCTATGATAAGGTTCAGCAAAAGGTGGTTGCTCATCAAGGGCACAGGAAGTAATACCTCGACATAGGATCTCCCAGCAGGATTTACGTGGTACTGAAAGTTTGGATCACTGCGATGGAGGTGGATCAGACGATTCCGAGCATCTTCGTACTCGATCATTCCATTTTCGCATCTCCAAATGACCTCAAATCCTGGAGATGTGTACGGGACGGTGCATTCAGTCTGGAGACCGAATGAAGGTGAAAACGATCCCGATCCACTAAGAAAGTGGATTTTTATGAGAACGGATCGATAGATGCCAAGTTGCGTCAAAGCCAGTCGAAGATTCACGCCATACTTCGCTGCGTTACATTCTTCCACGTTGCATGTTTGGAATATTCCCATGAGGCTGTAGTCGAGTGCCCAGAAGCGCCCGGAGGCTCTCTCGGAGCGATGACATTGACAGCAACAAGATCTCGACAAGCAATCTTGGCGGTATTTCAATTTTTGGCGCTTGATTACTTGGTGCGTCTTCGCGACATCGATGGCCCGGGATTTCGCTGGCTCCGGACACAGCTCTGAAGACTCTTCAGTCGATCCGAGTCCGGCTGGCTGAGCGGAGCTTTCTGACGAGGGGCTTTCGAGGCATAGATGTCTGACTTGAACTGATTGAAGCAATCTGTCCCAGGTATCAGTCATCAGGCAGCTGAGGGCGTGGACAGACGGCTCCTACAAACTCAGATTTATCTTGGCTGAATCGATTTCCCTCTGGAGCGCTACAAGATCTTCCTTCAGATGACGAAAGATCCACAGTTTCGACACCGATGTTCCACCCATTTTGGGGCGTTCGATGATCCTTGTTATCAGCCTTTCAAGACTCTTGCGGACTCGGCTGCAGCTTCGCTGGCAATGAGTGAAAGCCTGGTCGTCACGATATGTGGCATCATCGACCGACTGCATGAGACAAACCATGAATTTCAGCTCACTTAAGAGAAAGTCCACCTCACTATGAGCTTCCTTTATGTTCTGGCGGATGTCGCGAAGCTTGTCGATCCCGCTGCTAATTTGTACCAGCAGAGGTGCGAGGCCCAAGACGATGCCGACGATTTCAGCCATATCGCCACATGGAGCTCGCAGAGAATCATGGAAACTGACCAGAGTCAAGTCCGCTGATGTTCAGAAGGATAAGCATCTTGCGACAAAAGGCAGACAAGAAGTCTCAGGCTTCGACAGGTTGCCTACGGATGAGCCTCTGGGCTATGCCTCATGCACATGCAGTGAGATTTGGCGCCCTGGCGGACCAGGCGCACTGCTACTCCGCCATACAGCATTGTCTGCAGTCAGAAAAACCTGAGTTTCATCGCCGGGAGCAAGCAGCTCGAAGGCGTACGGTTGGCACGAACACCCCCTGGAACTTCGAGCAGTACCATTTCATTTGTCGTGTTTTGGAGGGCTGCGCCGGTACGTTAGCCGAATATTTTCTCAAGATTGCATGTCTCTCCAGCGACGTGAATGGTGAGGATCTTTGTAGGAAGAATCGCGAGCAGACCGGCATCCAGATGACTTCCTTGGGCACCGTAGATCCAGTGAGTGCCCATCTACAGGCCATCAACCCCACTCGATTAGCGGTCTTGCTTCTAGCGTCCTTGAAGCGTCAAAAGTTCAAGCGATTGGGACCAGGTGCACATCATGGGGTCATTCAACGCTGTATTCGTACCACAGAAGGGACCTGAGGCTGACGGTGTCGGTCAATATGGGTGCAAAATCGCCAGAGCCCACCCACCCTTTGATAGCATCCACACCCTCCTTCCTGCAAGCTACGAAAAGTGAGGCGTATTCCACGAGAAGGCCACCAATGGGGATGTGGACCAGATCGCAACCACTGCGGCGAAACTGCCTTGCAACATGCACCCAACCCTGTTCAGCCTGCCGTACTTTCCCGTCCACTGCGAACAGGGAGGGATACCTGACAAATGTCTCCCGGCCTTCTGAATAAATCTGCCACGAACCGCCACGCGCAACCCATCAGGTTCCAGGGGATATAACGGTCGTCCGATACCTCGCGGCGTTGCGCGTGAAGTACAGAACCCCCGACAATGCCAGCGTAATGCTTGCGCTTCGAGACATCAATCATCGTAGAAGTGAGTCCAGCTTACCCTCTACGCCATTCAATTTTCGCTAAACAACTGTAGAAACTTAGCTCATCATTCTCTGTAGCGCTGCAATGCGCCAGGCTGTGCCATCATGGCCGACCCGCTGAGCATCTCGGCTAGCATCGCCGGTCTGGTCACTCTCGCGGATGTAGTTTTTCTACGCTTGACAAAGTATATCAAATCAGTCAAGAATGCAGAGAAGGAGGTCGCCGACCTTCGCAAAGAGGTCAATCTGCTAGGAGGCGCCGTGAACATGCTATCGAGGTTAGCGAGTGGCCACGAGATGGAAGATGAGCCATTCAACAAGGACTTCCGAATGCACCACATCGAAGGATGCGCTTCCATCCTCAACGAAATTTCCCAGAGGACAAGAAAGTACGACACCAACCCAAAAGGCAAGCTCCAGAGGCTTATGTGGCCATACACGTCCTCGAAAACCAAAGAATTGCTTGCCGACCTCTCCCGACACAAAGAAAACATCAACCTAGCCTTGACGGCCAATTCCATGGACGCCCTCTTACGTTGCTTGGCAAACGAAGAGGATAGGGCAAGAACGACTGCTGATATTCAAGCCGATGTAAAAAAGACCCGAGAGATCGTGGTACGGATTCAAGAGGATTCTCACCGGAAAAGTGTCCTCCAGTTCTTTCTACCTTACAACCCGCAGCCTAACTACGACATGAGTGTCAAGCTGCGACATCCGAGAACTGGCATGTGGCTTGAGCGTCTACCAATCTTCCAGACATGGCTTATGAGTCCTGGGTCACGACTGTGGCTGAGTGGTATTCCAGGTGCAGGCAAAACGGTTCTCGCGGGGTCTATCATTGGACACGCTCTGGGACGAAGCTCCAATACGGTAGCAACCGGTTTCTTCTTCTGTGATTACAAGAATGAAACAACACAGAGGCTGGCCAGCACAGCGCTACTACCCGATCAAACAAATCGAGGGCATTCTTGATATTTGATAGATTTGATTAGGATTTATAAGAGAAATATTTATATTATTTTAATAATTATTAAATATTTAGAGAGCTTTAAGCTCTTAGAATCTAAATATAATATAATTTACTCTAAAGGTTATATATTATAGGTGTTATACTACTTAGAACCTTTTAAGTAGAATATTTGAATTTAATTGATTTGATCGGTTAGTAGCGCTGGGCCAGCATTTTAGGGGCTTTAGCCCATCAGCTTGCGAAGCAGAACGAACAAGCCTACGTGATGCTGGAAGAATATTACTGCGAGCTTCATCCCGAGAAAGGCTTATCAGGCTCCCCTGACCCAGATGACCTAATCAAAGTCATCCTAACGATGGCCCAAGTCTTCGACCAGGTATATTTGATAATCGATGGTCTGGATGAATGCCAAGATACCACAGGAGAGGTTGTCCGGGCTTTATGCGCGATTGCCGAAAGCTCCGATGAGATCTCAATGGCAGTCTTGAGTCGCGATGAAGACAACATTCGAGATCATCTTTCCGACCCGGAAATTGACTTCGTCAACGTGCAAATAGCAGCTCATAAAGAAGACATAACCGAGTATGTCACTTCAGAAATTCAGCAGCGGATTAGGACCAAGCGACTACACTTCGAAGACCTTTCCCTGGAGGGCGAAATTGTGGATGGCTTAGTAGAGGGAGCAAACGGAATGTACGTTCTTTCAAACTCCGAAGGCCGCCAATTTAATGGCTCTTCACTTACTTGACATTTGAACAGGTTTCGTTGGGTTGCGTGCCAACTCGACAATCTTGGGTACTGCATGTCAGATGAGCAGTGCCGAGAGGCTCTACGCAGTTTGCCACCCGACCTTCCCGAGACATACATGCGCATACTAGAAAGAGTCCCCAACGCACAGCGATCATATGTTCAGATAACGCTGGACCTCATTGCCTACGCTGATCCGAAGCTCAGTATTGCACAGCTACGGGAAATCCTCTCGGTGCCATCAAATGGGTCGCTGTTAAAGGCATCCGGCTTGATTCGGGAAGATGCAATTACTCGGCACTGCAGTAGTCTGATTCGAAGGTCAAACGATGGCCAATATTTGGAATTTGCTCACTTTTCGGTTCAAGAATTTTTGACGAGCGGCGTCTTGAGGTCGTCTGAGTTCCAGATGTTTAGCATTTCAAGGTCCAAATGCAACAGACTATTGGCAATGCGATGTCTAGAGTATCTCCAACTCGAAAACTTCAATCGTCTTCCAACACCGACTGTTCAACACCTATCGGAGATTGAGAAAACAGCTCAGGATCATCCCTTATACAGCTATGCGGCAACGCACTGGATGTACTACTCAAGAGAGGAGTGGGAAGACCCTGCTATGCTAGCAAGTGCAAAGTGTCTCTTCGACCCCTGTAAAACGCCATGCTTCACGTATTGGGCTGTGGTTTTAGTTCTGGAAATGAGAAGTTGGGCTGTGAAGCTTGGAAATCATGCGAAGGTGGACTTAATAAAGGAGATCCTCGACAACGACTTCCATCCGTTGCATTTCGCCGCAACGCTCTCTTTACCGGAGATCAGCTCTTTTCTCCTCGCAGATATGGAGTGTCAGAGAAAAGAAACTTTGATTGAGAGAGCCTTTAAATGTTCCCTGGATTGTCTGTACGGGTCTCTGAAGCTTTTATGTGGGGGAACCTTCGACAGATGGAATGAGGCCCAACGCTGCTTGGGAACAGACACGTCCGGAACCCATTATACGCTCCAGACCATACGTATATTCATTCAACGCTTCCGCGGGACGCCGAAAAGCTTCATCAGCCTGGCAATGAGCTGTTGGGCACGGACATTCGACTTCTCCGTCGTGGAGCTTCTAGTCACTGAAGGCACCACACTAGCCCGAAGTGATTTAGATTGCGTGTCTCAAGAACTGCAAAGCCTCATTGATAGCGACGGTACTTATGTCAGCTCCGAGCGAATGCATTCACTCTGTCGTTTTTGCAAGTCTCTGAGCTGCATGATTGACAAGTCAGCCTTGCATTTGGAGCTTTGCCGGATCGTCTGGAGATTCTCTCTGATGCTAGCAGGTGACGCAGACGACGTCAAAACATACAATATTGATTCTCGCATATCTGAGGATCGTCTAAGCCTCGAAAAGCTAGCAAAATGGGCTTGTCATGAGATCAATATCGATTTACTTCGGACGGCGGCCGGCGATGCACGCATAGACCTGTCATCTATCATAGATCTCAGCACTGGGAACACGCTGTTGCATAATCTGGTGCTCGGTGATCATGAAACATTGAGGGATGCAGTTGATGAGACGTATTGGGAAATTGCAATCGAAGCAATGCTAGATGTCTTGTTGGATAATGGCTGCAACCTCTGCGCGCGCAATAACAAAGGGCACACGCCATTTTCGCTGGCCTTAGAGCAACAGGAAACAGACTTGGCCCAGATACTGTCAGAAGAAGAAGCATTTGGATGCGGGGCCTGGGATTCACCGATTCCCATTCTCTTACTGATCGCCGAATCAGGTACCGATCAGATACTGGATCGGCTCCTGGGCCTAGGCTTCCAGACTTCACCTGCCGATTACTTGTGCGAAACCCCTCTACATCGGTTAGGGGCTCAAACCACTTTCGCTTTCGCTGCCCGTTTTGAGGAGCTTTTACCCGGTTCTCGCGAGCTTCAGAGCGATGGAAAGATGCCATGGGAGTATTACCTTGAGATCATGGACTTCGATCCCCCATCCTCGGAAATACTGAACTTTTTGATTCAGCCTCTTCTTCTTGATTCCAAGGATGTGGAGGCTTCAAGAATTTGGGACCATTACACCAAAGGCTTTTCGCTTCCTGCATCGAGAAAAGGGTATCAAGCCGCTGACCAGATATTCACCAGCCTTGTACACACTGGTGTCTTGAGGCATTACGAGAAAGTCCAGTCACAATCTGGTCTTCTATCTCTATCTTCAGTATTCTCAGTCTTTGTAGAGAATCCGAGCACACCCAACTTTCCCTTGGCCGACTCCACAATTTGCCTGTTGATCGAAAGCACAGAGTACTGGTCAACATTCCAAGAATCACCCTCAGCATGCCAACTTCTGAAGCTCTCGGCAAGCCTTCAATACGATAAGGCAGTGGAGCAGTTGCTGCAGCGGGGCGTTGAAGTCAACCGACGGGTTGGCGGTGTCTCCGCAATTGAGCATGTCTGCGCATTACCAGCAATCAACGACAAAAGCGTTTCCAGATTTCAAAATCTTTTGAAACACGCAGTTCCGGCTTTTTTGAATCAAACGAATCCGAATTCAGGCTTGGGTCTCATTCACATCTCCAATCCGCGAGATAAAGCGCATTTCAGGCGTAAGATCCTCGAAATTACAGTAGAGTCGGGTGCAAATCCAAACCTTCGAACCACTACCCGTTTTCAATCACCAGGAATGGTTTATCATTTGGAAGAGCGGAATTTCGACCTGGCAAGCGTTCTCCTCGAGCGAGGAGCTGATCTCACAATCCTATGCAAAGACGGATGGAGTCCACTTCATATGGCAGCTTTCCGAAATGCGACAGGTTTCTTATCGAAACTCATTTCACCGAAAGACTCCTATGGGACATTGAATTGGGAAATTGGATGTCGATAGCCGTGGTTCAGAAAGCCTTGCCGCTGTAAAGCCACTTCATCTTGCTGCTACGGGCTCAACCGATTTTCTTATGGACCTCCTTAACAAAGTACCGTCGATCAACCTGGAAGCAACGACGGATCATGGACTTACTGCTGTCCATTTTGCAGCTCTTTGGGGATGCCAAGATGCTCTGGAAATCCTCGTTTCGCGAGGCGCAAATATAAATGCTCAGTCTACCGACGGCCGGCTGGCTCTACATATCGCTGTTGAGACCGGCAACTTGAGTTTAGTTGAAAGGCTGTTGGAACTCAACAGCGACACCACTCCGAGATCAAATGGAATGACGCCATTGCTTTTAGCGTACCAAGTTAACCATCAGGCCATCATCGATCGCTTGAAGATGCATACAGCTAGCTCGCCTGGTGTAGCCTCCGAGGTAGAGAATGCGTCATCCGCGGCACTCGCCAAAGCGGTTTTTGGGTCGATTCGGGCGAACAATCTATCTGCTTGTCAAACTCTCTTGAAAGAAAAGTCTTCGGTTGACATAGATATGTTTCACGGCGGCTTCAACAAAACTCCCTTGGCAATCGCCATTGGGCTCGGAAGATTGCCTATCACCAAGTGGCTTTTGGAAAGTGGCGCAAACGCTAACGTACACCATGGAAATGACAGATCATCAATGCAGTATATTATTTCAAGACCATCATTGAGTCAGATCTTGCCAGCAATGTTGGATAAATACCTTGCGGATGGCGGATGCATATTAAGCGAACCCAACGGCCTCGTCAACCTCGCCGTTAACGCGCAAAACAATAACGGATTAGATTTGCTTTTAAAGCATTTGAAAGCAAACGAGTCATGTTATGGGTCAGTGATTCCATACTCGGTGGTGATTTACGAGCTGATATAGCAACAGGGAGCGGTACGGCATACCGAGTTTTAAAGTCGTTTCTACTGCCGTGAATCGAATGCAGATGGGGAGGACGCCCCTACACGGAGCTATTCAAATGAGTAATGCGCATGCAGTTCGACTTCTTCTCACTGCTGGTGCGGATCTGGAAGCCAGAGACTCAATGAGTCGCACGCCCCTTCTCTTGGCAATTGAGAGACATAACAGCAATGGTCCCATGCCAGTCATCGTTCCAATGCTCGTCCAGGCAGGCAGTAATTTGAACTGTCGGGATGACAGAGGTGCAGGACCGCTCGCGAAAGCTTGTCACAGTCGACAGCCCGACATTATCCTTTATCTACTACGCCTCGGGGCCAGTCTGAACTCGACAGACCATATGGGGCTCAATGTTTTGCATTACCTACTTGCTTACCAGGACACAGCAGAGATGCACAGCATACTACCCTCTATGTTTATCAGACTCACGCGAAGTTTGTTGACCCCTATCAAACTGACAGATGCGGCTGGTCTCCCCTTCATCTCAGCATGCTTAGTAGGTCCATGACTACTTTCCTACTCAACGGGGATTTCCAGAATCTCAGTCTCACACCAATGCCCTGTTCAACAACTTGCATATCTCCTGGATCTCCGGCTGTTGCTTGCCTGACATCTGGGTTTCGACTCTATCGGCGTCGGATGTCCTTCGAAAGTTTTCGAAAGCTCCTAAATATGGAACCCAATGACGCGTGGAGCCCACTTTGTCGTGCGGCAGCCGTCGGAAACATCAAGACCATGGAGAATCTTCTCTCGATGGGGAGTCGAATCGATTTTGAGGGATGCCCTGATGGATCCGCGCTGATTGCCGCCTGCCAAGCCGGGGTTTTGGAATCCGTGATATTCTTGATACGGCAAGGCGCCTCTATCTCCTGTCAAGGACGCGGAAAGTATTGGTCTGCAGTCGAGGCTTCAACAAAGTCAGCACGCATCTCCCACTGGCTACTCGTTGATCGATTTACCGATCAATTCAAGCTGCAAGCACCCCCAGACGAATCTGATGCCCCTGCGGAGCAATTGATGCAGTGGAGTGGCATCACGAAGGCTGAGATGGTGATTTTAGGGCCGTGGGAACGGCGCCCCACTGAATCCTCACAACAATACTGGTCGCGATTGGGACAAATGAAGCAAGACTTCCATGGCAAGGTCGTGCCTCCTGATCAAGGAGCAAAGACGAGGAGGGAATCTAAGTTGGTTCCATCAGAATCAGTCAGGATTGCGTCTGGTGGGTACAGCTGTACGGATGAGAATGGCGGGAGACTTGGTTTGAGCACGAAAGTGGAAGAGGTCCTATTTTGGTCTCAATTTCACAGGCTTGTCAAACGCTGAGGATGAAAGTTTGGGGCGTATGTTGTTCTCCGGTTTCTTCCAATTTGAGCGAATCATCAATAGCTTCAAATTGGGTCTCTTAGTAATGTTTCCTCGGTTGTTCTATCATAGTTCTTATTGTCCAATCTACATTATCCGATAATCGTTTGAATCAAACTAACCATACGCATCAAAGAGAGGGACCCTGTGTGAGCTCCGTTTCTCCCCCCTTTGTATTATTTAACGCCTGCTACGTCGCTTCCTGGGCACAAGGCGTCTGCGCCGACGATCAAGTTTGATACTGATGCATATACAAACTCCAGCCACGCATGAATGAAATGCAATCGCCCCGTCACCTGATGCTGCGAAGTGACTCTTCCTCGTATAGAACTATCGAGAGATGAATGTTTACTGATAAACACACGTTTAACCAGGCAGCAATAATAATAATGATACGGACTTGATTAATCGCAAGCTATCGTGTTTATGAACAATTTGCCAGTGCCACGTCCTTCGACCCAGAAATGCCACGTATAGCTCACGATACTAACAGATACACACCTGCCATCTTCGTCGACACACTTCATCTTGAGTATTTCGCATACGACCTCGATCCTGATCCTCCGACCATCGATCTTGACCTCTTGTGCGCGAGACAGCCTAGTATAGCCCAACAAGGATGTCACCTCGGACCCGAGCTGTGAGGTGAACCTCGGCTTCAAGGTCAAGCTTGATACCGACCATGAGGCCGGCGTCCTTGAGCTTGCCGTTGTCGTCAACGGGACCCTTGAGGAGGTTTCCTGTGCCAGATTAGAGAGTGAGCTTAACATTGGAGACTTGAGACTTACCGACGGGTCCGTTGGCGGGGCCGGACAAGCCAGGCATAGGGAGGGACTTTCCAGAGTTCTCCTTGTTGGTGTTAGTGGTGTTGAGGGAGTTGTTGGGGTTGCTGGTGCTGAGAGAGTTGCTGGGAGCGGTAGTGTTGCTGGAGTAGCTGGGGTTGTTAGACGCGGAGTTGGTAGAGGAGGACAGGTTGGAGGAGGCAGTGGTGGAGCTGGTCGGGGGGTTGGAGTTCTTGGTACTGGGGGCAAGAATCAATTGGATATGAAAGCAAAACTGGGGCTTGATGGTACTTACGGGGAAGACATTCTGGCGGTGTTCGGTCGAGAACGCGAAGAAGATCGTGAATGGTTTGAAGCGGAGTCGAGGTTGTCGTGAGATCGTTTATGCCACAGCTTGCCTGTATGACGAAGTTGAGGTTTTGGCGGTTGAGTATCTGCGAGCTTGTCTGGTGGTTTCTTGGGCGAAGGACTCTGGCGTTGGTATCTCCAAGCTGATCTGCGATGAGACTGAGGAACTTTGGTGCTGCTGAGGAAAAAGGTAGTCATCTTTGGCGGGAGCTGGCCTCCTCTTTATCCTTTTCCGAGCTTGGTGTTGTGAGACATTTCGAGTATATGTAACTGAAGCTGGTGGACTCCCAAATTTCCCTTCATCCGGACGTAAGGGAGGACCTCTGCTACTGGGATTCTCGACAAGGATGCGCACTCTGTGTACGGTTACTGTGCAATGCCACGGCGGAGATATCTGCAGTGAAAACTCAGCTCCTCGCCCTACCCGACGGATGTTCACCGCAGCTCCCAACAAAAGAAAGCAGGTCCATGCTCGGGGGATGATGCTTGTTCAACCGCCTGCTCGCACTTAAGGTGTCGGGAGAGGCGCGCCAGACACATGGGGCAAATTTGTCAGACACTGGCATAAATCTACGTCCATCGAGCTGCAACGCCCCTCTTGCCGAACGCTACCTCAGAGACAACAAGCACATTTTGCACTTCACACAATGGTCACAGCATTTTTCGTCGCGTTCTCGGCGGCATTCGGCATGGCGGAGGCCATCCGACATACGCAACAGACAGCTAGGAGAAAAGAACATCGCAGTCGGAAGAACAACTTGCTTATCCGGTGCCGCAAATCCACCAAATACTCCCCAGAGCTCGAAGGGAAACATGTAGTTCTCTCCGGAGACAAGGTATCTCCCCTTCCAATCCTTTCGGTTTTCCGAAGTTCACTCGCTTACATCTACATAGCTCTTCGTGGACACAGGAACCGACCCTGACTCGGCGTTCGGCCATCAATTTGCAGGGTACTTCTTGCCGTACCCCGAAGCCCAGTATGCGGGCCTCGTATCGACCATATGCGACGAGCCCCCGATCATGAATTGGATCTACGTGGACAGGGACACGTATGAAGTCAAGTTCGGGACCCGTCCGTACGCGCAACACAACTACAACGGTCCCTTCGACTGCACCAGGCAAGACCACCGGCTCACCTTTGCCAGTTGGGAGGGCTTCTTTGTAGTTGAGAACGACGGCTTCTGGTCGCTGTACTTCGATGTCGAGCAGGACGGGCTAAAGTCGAAACTCGGGGAGGGTTGCCTTGCTTTGGAGGTGGATCTCGTGCGCGTGGAGATGCCTGTCAAGCCAGTGAAGCCTGAAGAGAAGGAGGAGCAGGCCGTGGGCAAAACCTCCGGCGAGGAAGGCAAAGAGAACAACGCTAAAGCGGGAGAGCCTGAGGTGCAGCTCGAGTCACCAGAAGTGGACTGACATGTGGAGAAGGGAGTGACACAAGGGGAGGCGATTCATAGCTTGGCCACCTTGGCAGATGTCGTCCAATCTGGACAGTCGATGTGCTAGGTGAACAGAGAGGACATTGCCTGATCCCAGTTATCCACTCGTTGGATTTGTAAAGCCATGCCAGCCACAATGAATAA